TGAATGGAGTGTATTCCAGCATAATGCAGTTTTTGATAAGTTAAGGGAGTTATTACAATTTTCTCAAATAAAAACATTAGAAGCTGCAAACCAGCTTAGATATAATCAGTTATATTCCAGGCACTGGATCAACTTTTCAATACAAATTTGGTGTAACAGAAGACAAATTCCAACAGACAAAATATCATTTACTCTTTAAATGCCCACAGTGGTATCCTTTCCTACCGCTAATTGATGATTTTATTTTTCACTGTGGTGTCAAATAGCATCTTTGGAATAGGAGAGTAAAACAACAGGGAAACTCCAGTAAACCATCATAGCCCTTCACAATGCTTCAGGAAGTTAAGTACCTTGAAAAAGGTCTTCATTCTTGCTTGACACTTCTCTATTTACTTTATTCTTTTTATGGAATGGTCACGATTTAATGAGCAATTATGTAGAATATTTACTTGAATGTAAAGTGATCTCTTAGTGCAAGCATTATTCTAAGGGTTATTCTGTAAAACAAGGTACTTCACCTCAGGATAATGTTACATGGAGATACTGAGCCAGCAGAGCCAAATCTAAAAACAGTTCCCTTACAAGATCTAACAGCTTGCAAATTTATTACCAGATCTGAGAGCTCTTCCTCAGACTTGTTCACTACACAGAATTCAAATTGTGTGATAATACTATATACTTTAGTAATGATGTAAAAATTAACTGTAAAATAAAGCACAAAATGTTTCAGTGCTATCTTCAGTAGTTCCATCTAAGGATCATCAAGATAACAGAAAAGAGTAGGTTCATACTGTTCAGGCATATCCTTACTTTTCTAAATACAAAATTCCTTTATTCCCATTACTTCTTCTACCATTATTTTTCTCTTTTTTTTTATTGTAAATACAACTTTTATTACTCCAGTACAAAAAGTGAATTTGATAAAAATATGCTTTGATAATGCATGTTACATTGTGCTAATATTTTATGTTATCTTACTGAAAAAATAATATTTCTAACAATAAAAAGAAACCATTGGACTAGTCAGGAACTGAGATGTGTTTTCCTCTCACCTGATTATATATTACAATAAAACCAAAGGACTTTTACAGGCCATGATCCAAACAAAGAGATCCCAAAGACTTCAATAGTTACTCTGCATAAGAGCTGTGGATGAGAGTGCCAGCTGATGCACCCACCTTCACCTTGCATCTTGGGGAGCCACTTGGCCAAGCAACAGGGACAGAGCCATGCCAGTACTGAAGATGGACTCGACATTACAAAAGGTACTCCTCTACTTCAGCTAATGAAATTAAACTTGAGTCATTACAGAAGGGACACAGAAAGCAAAATTTGAGATAAGTTGCCCGAATATTCCTGGCAGAACATACCAGATATTAGGGAAGCTCCTGAGCAGAAGTTGGTACATTTAACTGATGTAAGACCTTGGGCCAAGAGGACTACCAGAGAAGTTTAACACGACATTTGCCTCACTTTCTTCTCTTTGCTTTTAGATGTTAAACTTGGTGCAGTTCCCATAGCATAATGCCACAGGCAAGGCAGTGTTTGTGAGTAAAGATAATATTTTTAGCAGACAATATTTTTTTATTTGGAAAAACAAAGTCTTTTTTTTGACACAAATTCTTTTTGGGAGGGAAGACTTTCTTCAGGGAAAGAAATTGTGAATTCAAAAGTGTATCTGTTTCTAATTATGCTAGGTGGCCTTTCATCAGTGCTGTCAATAAAGTTTGCCTTTCCTTACTAAGATATTAGGAATGTAGCTTGTACCAAAGGACTGAGAACTTACCAGCAGCAACAACTTCTGCCATATGCCACCAGTCATATCAAATCTTTGAAGCCCTTTTTGTTCTTAAAATAATATAAAATCCATCACAAAGTTTATGCACATGGGTTGAGTATGTATTTCAAGATGTGTGTGTGTACGTAGGTGTATTATAAAAGCACCTTTTGAAATCATAGCACTTCATTAAGAGAGAGATTGGCACAAAGAGCTAACATAAAGAAAAATGTGCCTGTGAAATCCTCAAAGTTGGGGTTGAAACAAATGTTTTACTTAATGTTCATTCTCAATTCTACATTGCACCAAACAAATCTGTTTCACAGACAGGTAAAACTTAGTTAAATATTGCTTGGTTTAGTGAAAACTAATCTACAGATGAGGATAAATTGCAAAACCACTTTGAAAAAATTGGGAAAGTGATTCGAAAAGTTCAATGAGATAGGAAAGATTCAAACTTCCAATCTTTTTTTAAACATTATCTCTTTTTTTTTTTTTCCCTTTTAATGGGAAAAAGACCATTAGTGATTTCATTAATCAATACAAGTAGAGATAAATTAGGAAGTGAGATATCTCCAAGCTGACCGCTGATGTCAGCTGGCCAGATTCCACTCTACAGCCTTCTAGCGGAGTTCAGAGTCACCTTACTGTGAGAAATCCTGACATGCACAACAGACTCACAGATTTTAAATCAGCTGCAAATACATAAATATATTTGTAAATATTTTGTTGAAGACATGTTTCATTACTATTCAGAAATGGCAACTCCTCAGTAAATACGATTGTATGACAATATAGAGAAAAAAATTAAAATTCTGGGTTAAAGCAGATTACAACTTACATTTCCCAAACTGTGCTGATTTACCAGATCATTTTTTGCTGAATGCCTGCTGCATGGTTACTCCAAGACTGTAATTAGTTCAATCTGCTATCTTCATCCAGTGATTTTTACTTTATAACTTGGGACAGTTGATTGGTTAATACATTTTAATTTTTTCTTAGATTGTACTCTGAGGGAAAGACATAAATAATTCATTATCAAGTATCTAGTGGTTTCTAAATGGCCTTTAAGGGCAAGGTTAGTAGCTAAGGGTCTATCTTCTCTCCTTTGATGTCAGTCTCTCCCTAATTTGTAAAGCTTGTATTAAATCACAGAAATCAGAAAATTCAATGTATTAAGTGCACACAAAGTGCTGAAGATTTATAAAGAAAGAATCTTTACAGCTTCAGATTTACCTAATGGTGTATAATTTTTAATTATTACAAAGCAATTATATTAAAACATTGCCCAAATATCTCTTTTGAGTGTCTAATATGAAAGTTCCCTGTGGACCTAATTTTTTTTTTTAATAGCCTGTTCATTTTCCTACATACCACATATAGTATGTTATGTTCTAAAATAGTATGGTGGAATGTGGAGAATTTTGTTTTGGGGAAATAATAAATTCCTTTGGCTCTGTAAATATGGCTTTATTCATCCCTCAGGTGCGTGATCATTATCTGAGTCTGTCTTGGCTTTTCTCTTAATTTAAACAAGAGCCACCTACACTGGGTCTTTTCTTTTGTCTGTAAGCAAAAAATCCCCTTTTTTGCTTACAGACACATATGCAGAAGTAGATGTACAGCCTCATATTAAAAAATGTATTAAGATTCTTAAAAAATATTATGAAGAGTTAACTAATTAATTCATGAATGAAAAATAATTCTAATGTCAGACAGTTTTCATTTGCTGCAATTTCTAGTGAAGTTGTTGCAGCTGCTATGCCAGAAACTTACATATGCTGAAGCATTTTAAATCCTTAAGGGACATGTATAATATCTTCTCAACAGGTAAATACAGATAGTTATACAATGGTTCTCAACAAAATATCTAATTTAGTACCAGTTGAAAGTTCACTTCCCTCCCACATAAGCTCATGGAATGATGCCTCTGACCAGGAACCACACATGGAAAAAAACCAGCAAGTAAATCTCTCACCTCTTCTTGAAAAATGTTTTACTAAAAATCATAATACACAGGGAAATGACACTCAAGTTTCTTTTCACATGTTTCTTTCCTCTCCAGTGCAACCACTGCACTAAGCTGAAAAGCTGTGCTAAACTCAGTATGTCTTACTTGCAGCCAGAGGGATATTCCATTTCCAGCCCATTTGTGCAATAGCACCTGTGTAAGTGTCTTTGGGTAGACCCTTGCACTTCTCTCTGCATTCTCCCTTTCCACAACACACCACTATGGACAGTCACTCTGTTCCTCCATCACTGTCACTGGTATTCAGGGGAGTCTGCTCAGCATGCAAAGGAAAATAAACACTGACTTCTCCAGACTTTTCTCAAATGCTAAGGCATTTCCCATTAGCAGCAGAGGTCCATATTTAATGACTGCTGAAGTGATATTATAGACTGAATATACTGAATAAAAGTAGATATACTGAAGAAAGTTATTCACAGCATTGCATTAGGAAACCATTTTGTGTTGGCCCATGTAAAGCAACATATACAGCAATGTTACAATGCACATTACTGTACAGAGAGTTACTCCATCACCCCGCCTTGCTTAACATCCCAGGCTCAGAAACAGTTTGGCCACAATGTCTCGTAAGAGCTAGTGATTTTGGAGTGCTATATATGAGATATGTCAGACAGACCTGTCTTTCAGAAAGTATTAAATCTCTGCCAAAAGCACTCATTTTGAAAGACTGAAATGGACATCCAAATATTGAGACCCAACAGAGTAGTCTTTTAGAAAAATTTGGCCTTCATAAACACTGATGTAATTCAGGATTAATGCCATGGAGCTGAAAAGATTACAATAACAAAAGAGCAATATGAGATTGGATTTAGGCATCCAAAGTCTAAAATCTCCAATATATATTTAAAGAGAAGTAACTTACTCCAGCATTTGGAAATTGGGGCCCATTGAAAAGCATGAAACCTCTAAATTGTCATTTGAATGCCAGAAAAGTAATACTTTAAAAAGTCAATATTTAAATGCCAAAAGGAGTGAGCCAGAAACTCTAACTTGTTTGTTTCCACCTTGTCCATGAGTTGGGCAGGCACTGCAGCTCTCTAGGCATCTCTGGATATTAACTGCTGGACAGTCCCTGCCCTCAGTGACACAACTGTCTCACAAAACAGAAACATAGATGTGAACTGCATTTATGTAATAAGGCTCCTAATTAGAAAAAATACCAACTCAGAAACAGGTGCCAATGGCAATACCTACATTTAGCTGTGACTTTGTACCCGCCCAGCGGAGGGTCGTGGCCTTCCACAGCATCGAATCCTGCTGACACCAGGACAATTTCTGGATCAAACTCGTTGGCAGCCGGCATAATCACAGTCCTGTAGAAGGCAAAGAACCCAATACTATAAAATTAAAAGAACTTCCATCTTCATTACATAAACTGTAACAATCAGAAAAAAACACAACACAAGATATTTTATTTTAATTAAACCACTCTCCATAGTAGCTGTTCAAGGCTTTAATCAATTTATTTCTATAATCACTCTTTTTTCTTTCCTATGACTGAGAAAAAAAGGCAGGTACATGTGAAAGCCTCTAATATTACTTGCACATCTGTGTCTGTTTTATCCTGCTGCCTATAAAAAGCTGCCTCTTCCAGGGAAGTGACTAATGGTTTACAGAGAGCTCTCAAAGCCTGACTGGAAACCCGGACTGCTCCAGTTAGTGCGAACTTGGTGTAAATTTGAACTATAAATTTCTTTTGGGAAAATGTTTGCTTTCCAAACTTTTTTTTTTTTTTTTTTACTCCTTAACATTTTTAAATGTTTGTCGAGGTGGGGGGTGACTCTAGCAAAGGAAAAACATGAAATTCCCTTAATCAAATCCAGACTATGTTGTCAAGCCTTTCCAAGGTCAAGCATAACAGGAATGTGACAACCACAAACTAGTGACAGCAACCCCTGCTGGTGTCAGGAAGATAATTCAGCCCTTTACAGTCACAAAGATTCCACTTTTTTAACCCTTTCCTTGACAAACTTATATGCGGATATTTTATCTCTTTGATTTTGTCCTTTTCCAATCTCAAAGCACAAAAGATGTATTGAAGGAGAAGATAAGCCCCTGTGTTCTGCACTTGAATATGTGTTCTTTCAGGCTGACTCCAAAGGGAAGGAGAAAGGATGGCTTTTGCACTGCTTCAACAAACACTGGGCCTGTAATGGCTGTGCTAAATCAGGGGAACATGGCTAACATTAAAAGGCAAATACATGTACGAATGTTCTATCACAGACAAATTAACTCTAGAAAATCAAAATTGGTCTACACTGGTCAGAATGTGAAGATTAATTTTGTGCATGTGTAATGCTATTTGTTTAACTTCAATGTTTATTAATTTATTTGATAAACAACTTAGTCCAAATAAATCATATTTTTGTTGAAAGGTTCATGTTTTCTGTGGAAAAAAGAGACACGTTAATGATATTAACAATTCTCCGGGTTCTTCTTTAGTTTTATTTTTGATCTATGCATTATAAATTTTATTTTGTTTTGTTTTCCTCAAAGGTAAATTTAATATTAGGAAAATGTTCCTTTTACTTGTTAATCATAAAGAAAGAGAATTCACACGAAGCAAAATGTCTTTGTCAAGGCATACAGCATTTCATTGAATACAGTTTTACATTAAAAAAAAGGATAAAAGCTGCCTAAATTTTTTTTGGTGATTTTGATGAAATTGCACCACAAATATCTGCAGGAAAAGTGATATAAGTTGTGAAATATTCATTTTTTTACATGTCATTAGTAGGCCTCTGCTGAAATATGGATTCCAGTTTTGAGCATTGCACTTCAAGAAGGACCTAGACCAACAGGAGAGATCAAAAGAAAAGAAAAAACTTCTAAAAAACATAATTTAAGTGGATAAATAATATAATTATAATTATTTGATTTGTTTAACATGGGAAAAAACATGATAAAAGTGCACAAATATGTAAGTCATTGCAAGAGGAAAGAAATAACCTGTTCTGTACCCTGTAGTTCAGACACTGGAACAAGCTTTTAAATAGTAAGAATAAGTAATAATATAAAGAAAAATTTTAAGAAAATTGGAGACTCCCCATCTCTTGGACTTTTTTATAACAGCTAAAAGAAATATCCACCAAGCTTGCCAGAGGTTTGAGCTGACATGGCCTGGAGGCAGGCGGTCAATTACTTCTTCTCTAGGTTTTTTTTTCCCCTATTGTTCCACAATGTAGAACTCTATAACACAAAAAGTACACATATGAATACTTACATTCGACACTACAGTGACTGAGCTTTTGCAGGCTAATCTCCACAAAGCTAGGGAATATCAGGAATAAAGGTCTCCTATGAAACCATGTCTCACATACATACCTTCTGATACTCTAATTACAAATTCATTGTCTGAAGCAACACATACTTCCCAAACTTCCCCACGTCTGCAACACATGTGGCATGTTGGATCCTGATTACTGATGAGATGTGGCTGATACACAGTCTTCATCTGTCCCCATAGCACCATACATCTTATACACTGAAAGAAGGAGGGATCTTATGAAGAACCCTCCCTATCTGCAGCCACTTGAGCTTTTTGCCCTCCTCCTCTCCATTCATATTTACTCAAATTCAAGTCAGGCTCTGCTTTTTATTTCTTCATGCAAACAAAGTGGCAGCACCACAGAGTACAGCACAGACTAAGCTCAGGAGTCAGACGGCAGAGTGTGTTCAGTGCAGAGAAGCTCTGCAAGCTCAAGTTGCTGAGCAGTAACAAGCCTCACCAGCCTAACACACAAAGAAATTTTTGAGTCATAATTTGGAACATTGGGAAAATCTACCACACTTCTACCACATTTCAAGAGCTTGCTCTAAAGCATAAAGATGTCAGCACATTTTTTAATAACAATGGGGCAAAACAATGCATTTGACCCTTAATCTCATTCATAGAAGCAGCAAAAATTGTTTAGACACAGTTTATTCATGTTTTTTTGTCAAATAAATATGTCTGACATTAAAACTGCCAGCCATACTGAGTAGCAATAGGAAAATTATTAAATACTGAAAGCAAAGTCTTTCGACACAAAGAACCAGGAATAGCTATTAACACCATCTTTAATAGTGCTGAACAGGAAATAGTAGCACATTCATAAAACTCTACAGAAATGATATATAGGAATCTCAGCTAAAGAAAGGAGAAGGCTATAGTGCTAATAACTGGAGGTAGCATTTAGAATTCAGTGTTCTGTTACTGCTTTCAGTATTACCTGAATTCACATTACCAAAATAACAGCTAAGAGGGTTTTTCTGAAAGAAATATTTTTTTTTCTTGTAAAAATTTAGTGTCTGTTACATTTCCCCAGAAAAATAACATCCTACTTTTGCTGTAATATTGTCTCACAAACTAAGACAGAACTTTGCTGCTACTACTCTGCATACAATATACCAGAAGAACTAACCTGTATGCCCTGTGTTGTTAATTTCTTTTTCATCCTTCACAGTATCGAGAGAAGTGGAATTTCAGATCTCCTCCATCTTAAACAGTTATTCATTTAATACTGAAGAACCTCTAAGGACTTTTCTTTGTGAAAGATATCACAGAAAACTAAAAACATAATCTCTTTACTGGGATAGCAAGCTTGACTCCACTCTTAAACATCTTAGAGTGTCCCTGGTCTTTGCTACAGCAGCCAAGGCCACTATTTGGTCTTTCAAAAAGATGACAGCCACAAGTCTCTCAATTGCAAAGACCATATGGTTCCTAAATCTCTAATCGAGACTTCTACATGAATCTACAGGTATTTAGGTGGTTACTCTTTTGAATAAATTCTACTATGTCTCTGCTCAGAAAAGAGCAACTTTTCATTGGGAAAACAGCACTTTAGTTTGGAGTTTATGTAGGTAGGACATCTCTAATTTTTGTCTAGCCTTGGCGGTAACTGCTTTGTGGCAAAAAACACGCATGAAAATTCTTTCACTAAAATGACAGATACTCTCCTATTTTATGAAGTCCTATAAGGAATGATATACACACACCTTTTTAAATGCAGTCTTAATTTCACAAGCACATACATAAAACCTTTTGTCATTTGTCACCTCTCAGGTTTTAGCACCTTCATATGAATATCTGTCTTTAGGAAAATCACAGAACCACAGAATAGCTTGGGTTGGAAGGGATTTTTAAAAGATTATCTAGCCTACCCACCCCTGCCATGGGCAGAGGCAACAAGTGTTTTGAGGTTGGTAGTTGTAAAGAAAGCCTACAGAAAGTAACATGAAGATCACTTCTCCCTTGTAAACCATCTTTTCCTACCTCAGGATGGTTGGACAGGCAGTGACAGTTCCTGATCTTTCACTATCTCTTGGGAGCAGAGAATCATCAGACTCTGTATCTTGCACATTTTCTATCTCTTCTACACTCTGGAGGGCACGGCAAGGAATAAAAAGGAGAAATCATCCACTGACTACCTTCAGGAGCTCCTATAACCATGTCACTTCCCTTATCAGCTGCCTAAGAAGAGAACCCTCTGAATCTGACCATAACAGGAAATATGTGTTGTTGTTTTTTTTTAAATCAGGCAAATAACATTGGTCATACACTAATACATATTCATGTTAACCTTCCAAGATCCCTCAGACCAGCCCAGTGCTCAGAAGTCAGGCTGCAGCTGGCAGGATTCGTTACGGTGCGAAGGGTCAAAATTCTGCTCACCAGAAATCCTTGCAAGGGTGCACCAGCAGCCTGCATTCAGATCCTGCATGGAACACTAATTATTGTATGCCCAGCAGGAGTAAGAAATATGATTTGGCTTCTGGCCATGGGTCACCAGACAGGTACAGACAGGGGACTGGCAGGCCATCACTTCCTTTTGAAGCCAGTCAGGCTCCAGAGCTTATCAGCAAACTGAAGCTAATGCTAGGATCCTTCTCTGACAAAACAAGCAGCTTTTGTCAGAAAAGAAATAGATTTTATTCTTCCACTATGACTCACTCTCTCCTCCATTTCCTTCTCCAAAGAAAATAAAACACATAAAAGTGATATTTATTTTCTGCGATCTGAATCATATAGAAGCATAAATATTTGGTATACCATATTCACCTAATGATGACAGCAGCGTTACAGGGGCATCTTGCCTGGCTGACTGTTTCTTTCTTTTCTCATTCATTTTCATTAATAAACATGTCAAAACCGGAAAGCTTGAGCAGCTGCATCACAGAAGTTATTTATCTAAACCTTGCAGTTAGAGTGAAACTGTGTCTTCCAGATCAACGTAATGCAGATTCTTCTTTCAGTCTGATGGTACTGGGAACAGAGCATGTATCTGGGAATCTGAAAAGATTTCTTTTTGTCTGACTAAGGAGATTTCCC